TTCTCATCTCGACCAAGACTTAGGTCACCTCTGGCCCCAAGCCACAGTCAGACTGCAGCCATCTTAATTACCACAATGTTTCTCTTCAGGACACCAAGGCACCCAGCACTCCAGTGACATCATGCCACAAGGACCTGCAGAACAGGGACGGCACCTATTCTAGACGGGAAAGACATGGACAGGGCCAAGTGGGAGTTGGTCTCCTGAATCTAGGGACCTGCGGCCTCAGCAAGGCCTTCTCGTGGGTCTAGTGCCAAGGCTGAGCTATGTCCTCCTAGGCTGAGGATGAGCTGTGGGCCTCACTCTAGTTCCAAGGGAAAAAGAGGCACAACGCTTGCAGGCCTCAATGCGGAAGCAACGTTTGTCACATAGGGTGTGTTTCTCTGTCTCTTCACAGGTTGAATCAAAAGGGTGCTGATGTTGAGATGGGGCCCAGAGGTTGAGGAGACTTTCTGTCTGGTTCAGCAGCAATGCCATCGGTTCGGTCATTTATGATTCATGGTGTCACAGCCTCCCCAGCCACCAAGCCGTGCAGCCAGCTCTCTGCAGAGAAGCAGCAGGAGAGCAGTGAGGTGGCAGAGTGGCAGCCCGGCTGCCCTGTGCAGCCTGCCATGAAGGTGAGGCGCGGCAGGTCTAAGGTGCTTTGGGCCAGCGCTGAGGTGAGCCAAGTAAGCTGACCCACCGCCCCACAGCAGCCTGGCCTGCACACAGTGGAGATGCCCACATAGAAGTGCACTCCATGCAGCACCAGACAACCCCCTGAGCATGCACAATTCAATGACTTCTCCCTCCAGCTTCCTGCTTCTTGAAGGAGGGAGAAAATGAACAGTAAACTGAATGGGACTCAGGACTAACGGCATTATTACTTTGCCAAACCCTAATCAGCACAAGTTTGCACCAAAAGCAGCGACCCAAGTGCTAATAAACCCCTGGACTAGCACGCCCAGGTGGGGAAATTCTGGTGCCAAGTTCCCTCTTGTCTGTTAGAGCTCTGTTCCTGTTTCTATTTCTGATAAATCCTCCTCTTATGCTCATTCTGGTCTGTGTATTTCACTTTTTGAATTGGTAAGACAAGAACCTTGAAAGAAGGAGACACTTGATGGTGAGCTGGTGGGGCCTACCACTAAGAACGAATGCACCTCTCCGCTGCAGAAGCCTGAAGCTTGTGCACACACCACTCACTGGCAGAAGCAGGGAGTCAAGTTTTTCTGGTTTCAATATGGCCTAATGGTGCTCGAAGTGTCATGGGAAAAGGAGGAGTTGGAGGAGGCTTGTGGCAAGCCCACTACAACATTTGAAGCAAATACATATCTTCTTTCTCCAATAACTATTTTTGGGAAAAAGGTTTGGCTTGTTACTGGATTATAGAAGAGACTGCAAGTCTGATCAAGGAAGTTTAATGACCAGGTAGTCTGAGCTGCCCATCTTGAGATGGATGTTAATGTGATTCATTAAACCTCCGAGTCAGATTCACCAAAACACCCAGCTATGCTGGACATTTTTCAACATTCAGGTAGACAGAGTGACCTGCCCTATGATTTAAATCATTTTCTGTTCCTAGCTACCCTCCTGCTAATTTAATAGGCTTGTAGACACACAGGCAGGAACTGACTCCATCTGGTGTCTTGACAGCCCATTTCTGCTCCCAAGGCCAACCTGCTTCTCACCAGCATCATCAGCCAGTTTTGTTTTGTTTTTAATATTTTTTTTTAATATTTATTTTTTAGTTGTAATTGGACACAATACCTTTATTTATTTTTATGTGGTGCTGAGGATCCAACTCAGGGCCTTGCACGTGCTAGGTGAGCGCTCTACTGCTGAGCCACAACCCCAGCCCCTCACTAGCCAGTTTTGAGTCTTCCGAAAGGTGCCGATGTTAAGTGTGGTCCTAGATGACCAACTGGAGGGAGATTATGTGGACCTCTTTTATTGGTGGATATTAGCAACTTGCCCCTACTGTAATACAGGGCTTTTGAACTTGGATTGACTTTCTTTACCCACCAATGCCTACACCAGCATCCTCGGACTTTCCCAAGGAATGCCTTATTCATCAAAACACGTATTGCTTCTGTTTTAAACCAAAAAGAAGATCTATGGTGGGCTAATTTCTGTCCCTCAGTAGCAGCTGAGGGAATAACCCGTTGTAGCCTCAGTCACAGTGCCTGGTGGACACTTCCTGGAAAGGGAGTGTCACCATCCTATAGTGTGGACTCTCTGAACTGGAAGCTGACATAGAACACATGGCTGGAGGAACCAAGAGAGCCTGCCTGTCACTAACACACCCAATGACCTACTTGCAAATTTCTTGTTTCTGTTTCTTCTCCTCTGGGCTGTGCTAGTTTGAAGGTGTTGGTAACAAGAAGAAATTCTTCTACTTTGGGGATTTGAGCATAATTTCCATTGAAATGAAAATTGAGACGCTGGCTATTTCAGACTTTTGCTCACAGGGGGTGGGGAAAGGGGGGTGAATTGCAAGTGTTGGCTGTGACAATGGGGTGGCTATGATGGTGGGGGTAGCTGTGACTTCAGGGGGAAGTAGGGTTGCTCTTTATAATGGGCAAAAGGAGGTGAATGGATGAAAGCCAGTCATGGCCATGTGTCTTGCTCCTGGAACGTCCAGCAGCAAATCATAATAAAAAACTCCGACCTCTCAGGAATGAGGGCTGCTCCTAGCTGAGACGTCTGATATAGGGAAAAGGGGGGTTCTGTAATGGGCATTAGGAGTTATAGAGTCCAATCAATAGCTTATGACCAGTTGCAAATCAAGGACTGTAACCTCTACTTACATTTTCTTTCTTGCATATTATACATATTGATATAAAATAATCACCTTTGCTGTTTGGCCCTTATCCTCTACTATCTTATATAGGACCAACTAGTGATGGATATCTTATTAGCTTGGCCCATGAGATACAAAATGTTGATATGGGAGGTGACAGATAAGGAGTGACCATCACTCAGAGCTGCTGAGCTTGGGACTGGACACAGAAAAGAAAAAAATGAATGTGCTTTTCAACTGTTAAGAGATAGTCCATTGTATTAAATGGAAGTATCTTTGTTGTACATCATCTTTATTTCTAGAATTGTAAAGATGGCAAGAAATACATTTGACACTTGGTAGTCAAAGAGGGATACTGATGTAGTCATCTGGCATTCCTTTTGGCTGCTTTGAAGGTGTAGTAAAGATTACAAATTCTTCCCCCAAATCCATCCTCCCTTCATGAACAAGAGGAGAACCGTGCCCTCTAGCTGGGCACAGTGCCATAGGGAATAGAGACAACATCTCCCAACCTCTCTAGTAGCTAGCCTACTAATGTATTTAAGTTCCATCAGTGAGTTGAACATGGATGCATTGTGTGCATTGAAGGTCTCCTCAAGCAGAAGAGGGGTACCCTTTAGTCCTCCTTTGTTTTCCCTAATGTCTACCTGAGATATGAACCGGTAACCATCTTGGATCATGAGGTAGTCTTATGCATAGAAACTGGCACCATTCAGGAGAAATTTTAGAGCTGGACTTCTGATGGCAAATGATATTCTTTCCATACAATAAAATGTGGACAGATGGTTTTTCCAATGTCCCAGGGGAGACACTGGTAAACAAGGCAAGAGCTTGGGATAAGAAAGTTCCCCAAGGAAACTTAGAAACAAGTCAGGTGACTAACAATTAGCCAAGGGTGCTCTGGAAGCACAGATGGGGCTCACCTGATCTCAAGCAAGCACACAGTGGGTGATGTGGTCTGTAAAGACCTTCCGGAGGAAGTGACACCTCATAGATCAAGAGGATTGGGCCAGTTGTTGCAGGAAGGTGTGGAAGTGTTGTCTTGCCTGGGGAGTGTCAGCTGGTACCAACACTGCTTGTCCCTTTTCAGGAGATAAGTCAGGGGTGCATTGGGGGAGGGGTTTAGCACTCAGCCTCAGAATGAGGAGCAGGTTAGGGGAATTTAAGAATGGGGCAACATAGGTAGGTGTACTCTTTAGAAAGCTCATCCCAGCTGCTCTCGGCAGAAAGGAATGAGGAGAGCAAGGTCAGAAGGTGGGACTAATTCGCATGTCCTCTTTCAGTCCTGACAGAATGGAAGGACTCCGAAGGAGCACTTGGCCTTGTTCACTGAGGAGGGAGTTGGTAAACAATAGTCGATTCTGAGGAAAAGCTCAATCCAGGATCCACCAGTCCCTCAAGAAAAAGCATACACTGTTGGGCAGGAAATTGAGTTTCAATTTAAGATGAAAAAGGGAATCACAAGAAATCGCTGGAGCCTGGGAAATCGGGTCCCTTTCTTCTGTTTACACGAACTGCTTGCCTAGCAAAGCTTCCACCCGGCAGCCCGCCTTCTCTGCTCCGCCCAGAACATTCTCCAACTCCCAGGACTCCCAGCATAGCAGTAGTGTGGCGCCCGGGGGAGTAAACTGAGTCAATTCTCTGCCTGGGAGGAGCGGACAGGCCGCGCTACCGGGTCAGCTGGACAGACCTGGCAGGCTGCGCCCCCGCGCCGCCCGCGCGCCTCGGCCACCAGCGCTCCGAGGGTCTCTGGAGTAAAGAGCCCAGCTCGCGTCCGGGAGCCGAGAGCCGCCTGCGCAGGCACCGGCCGCTTCCTCCTTGGGAGGATGTGAAGGTCCTCAGACACCAGCCCTGACTCTGGCGTTCCTGGATTTGAAGTGGACATCATCCAGACGCCGTCGGTGCGCGGCCGCAGAGCCCTAATTTTGTGTCTATTTTTAAAGGAAAAAAGAACTGCAAACAGGTTGTCATCCGCAGAGAACGCGGGCTGGAGTTCGGACCCACCCCCGGCGGGGCGGGGCGGCAGCCCGGGGACCTGCAGCGCAGATGGGCGGCGGCCCGGGCGCAGGTGGGCGGCGGGCTGGGCCAGCGGCGCCCGGGAGGCGCGGGCGCGCGGTGCGGAGCGAAGGGCGGGCCGGGCCGCGGAGCCGTGCGCGGGCGCGCGGTCCTGGGGGCGCGGCGCTGCCAATCGCAGACAAAGGCCGCCCAGGGAATCATGTGGTGCGGCGGGAGGAAGTGCGGCTTGTTTTCTTTCCTCCGGCCTCGGGGCTGCGGCGCAGCGCGATGCGCAGAGACCCCCGCGGGGGCGGCGGCGAGCCCCGATGAGGTCCGAGCGCCCCCGGCTGCGCCGCAGCGCCCTCGGCCCGATGGAGGCGCCGCCCTGGGACCCCGCGCGCAACGGCTCGCTGCCGCCCACGCTCACCCCGGCCGTGCCCCCGTACGTGAAGCTCGGTCTCACGGTGGTCTACACCGTGTTCTACGCGCTGCTCTTCGTGTTCATCTACGCGCAGCTCTGGCTGGTACTGCGCTACCGCCACAAGCGGCTCAGCTACCAGAGCGTCTTCCTCTTCCTCTGCCTCTTCTGGGCCTCGCTGCGGACGGTCCTGTTCTCCTTCTACTTCAGAGACTTCGTGGCGGCCAACTCGCTGAGCCCCTTCGTCTTCTGGCTGCTCTACTGCTTCCCCGTGTGTCTGCAGTTCTTCACCCTCACGCTGATGAACCTCTACTTCACGCAGGTGAGTCGCGGGACCGCGGCCCGGCGCCGCACGGCTCTCACCTGGCGGAGCCGCCTGGACCGGGGAAGTCTCCGGTTCTGGGGCCCCTGAGCCTGTTCTGCCTCCTTCTCCTGAGTAATTCCTCGAGGAGAGGGAAGACAGGGTTGGGGCCGCCCCCTTAGCTCAGCACCACTTCGTGGGCACCTGGGCGCCTCTGCGCACCGTGCCAAGCTGCATCTTCTGCATGCATCAGATTCGGTACCGATGGAGGATGCCCCCCAGGAGGCTAACCCTAACCCCCAGGAGGCTCGAACTCTACAGCCCCTCCAGCCATCTGCCTGTCTAAGCCTAAGACACTGAAGCCCGGCCTGAGAAGGTTATCTGCATATTGGCCCCACTTTGAGGCTGGACACTACCTTTTTAAAGTAATGGCTAGGTGGACCGGGTTTGGTTTTGATGAGGTGTTTGTTTTGAACCTCAGGATTAGGAGCCCTACTGAAGTGCGACTTACTAACTCATTCCATGGGATTGCCTAACAGCAGTCTGGGGTCACACCCAGCTCCCCAGCTGCCGCAGGAGGTCAGGCTTGCTGTCTGAGCTCATCTGAAAGGCCCTAAGAAAAAAGCCATAAAAGTTAACCGGAGCTCTGTTACAGGAGCAGGATTCATTTTATGAGGCATATTGTTAAAAAGCTAATAGGTTGCATGCGAACTCATTTGGCTGCTGGTTTACCTGTTGGCTTAATGAAAGTACGGTAATTAATGTAAGCACTTTGCAAGTACAATGCCGAGCCTTGCATGAGGGTTTAACAGCACAGTGCTACCATCATCCTCATTATCTCTATTCCCATTAGCTGCTCCAAGTATGAAAATGTCCATTCTCACCAGGACTCTGCCCAAGGGAGAGGCTCCAACTGTGTCACCTGGCTAGGATAATTTAAGAGCTGTCTCCTGGATAGCTTGCAGGCATCCCATGCCTTTTAACAGCATCTCTTTCTCAAAATAAAATGTCACTGAATTAAAAAAGAAAGACAAATAATTGCTCTGGTGTAGTGGGAGGCACTGCTGAAATGTTGGAGGAAATATTTTTGGCTTAAAATGGCAGATGTGACATTTAGTAGATGTTATATTCAGTGGGTCTAGCTGAGAGCCTTCTTTTTTTTAATTTTATTTTTTTGTTGTTGAAGATGGACATAATGCCTTTATTTTATTTGTTTATTTTTATGTGGTGCTAGGGATCGAACCCAGTGCCTCATACATTCTAGGCAAGTGCTCTGCCACTGAGCTACAGCCCCAGCCCCTGAGAGTGTTCTTATGTGTCTGGTGTATCAGCATATTTTCCAGTCCAGGTAGTAGTGGTATTGTCTGTCCAAATACTGCTTTTTTTTTTAATAATATTCTTTGATTGTCAATGATATGTGGTGCTGAGAATTGAACCCAGTGCCTCACACATGCTAGGCAGGTATCCTCCACTGAACCACCCCCCAGCTTTTAAACTTGCAAATCGATTCAGGCAGTTGGCTACATTGCAGACACTGGCCTTTGTAATTGGATCAAAATTGGGTGGTGCCAGGAAGATGCAAAAGGTAAGTTGGTGTTCCCTCAAGAACGGATAACAGTATCACACATTGAGATCTCTGCTCCTGACCCTTTTGGGAAGGAGAAAAATGTGAGGAACTGCTATGGGTCTGTGGTAATCATATGCAAATCCTGAACTTAGAGCAGGATCCGGGCCTGGGCGGTACATTTTCTGCACTGTCTGCTGGTTGGTGAGTAAATGCTGAGCAAAGGAAAAAGTGACCAGGCAGACAGAGCCACTCTGGCCAGGAGGCCCAAAGGCATGGCCCTTGTCTTCTTTATGTCTCCCAGACAGGCAGATGTCATAGCAAAGGGCATTTTCCTGAGGGTCCTGGGAGGCTGGCAAGAGAAGTTGGCACTTAGGGCTGCATCTCAGACCCTGGCAGGCAGAACCATTCCTGGCTTCCAGAAAAGAACACTGGAACTTCCGGGGTGGAGGATGGCATTAAGAGACTGGCCCTGTGACGCCAGCCCAGCAGTGCCTGTGCTTTCCTGCTGTCCCCACACACTTACTCCCCTGTATATCATTTTTAGCCAGTGGCAGCACCTAAATGGGGAGCTTTTAAGAATTACTGCTCTGGAGCTCCATCTCAGACCAAGTAAATCTGCTTTGGGAGGGGGATGGTGTGCATGGTGCACTAGGCACTGTTCTAAGCAGATTGTCTTCATGCTTCACAACAGCCCTCTGAACAAGCCCCATATTGTCCCTTTTACAGACAAGTTAAATGACTCAGCCAGGATTTACACCCACATCTGTGAAATTGATGTGTAAGGCTTGGTTTTATGGTGCATTTTAAATCTCTTAGGATGGAAAACATACCCAGGCTAAACGCAAACACCTGTTCTCCAGGACCTTAAGATTTAGGGAGATACAAAGTATATCCAGCACAAGTAAGTAGGGATTCAGTCACATTTGGGGTGATAGAGACTATACATTTGGCACAGTTAAGTGTGGTTCGGAGGCAGTTGGGGTAATACAAAGTATACATGTGGCAGTTAAGTCATGATTCAAGAATTTGAAGCCCTGGGGGACTCCAGCAGGTCCTGAGTCTTCAGAGTGGTGGGTTCTGAGGCAGGAGATGGGCTGGGAAGGGAGCAGTGTGGCAGAGGTTTGGAATTGGGAATGAAGTGGAAGCAGGGCCCCAGGGGTGGGGGAACCTTTTGTTTTCCTGTTGTCACCTCCTTTGGGGCCAGGACACTTACTCATCTTACTTAACCTCTCCTCTGAGGGCACTGTTCCCCTCCCCTGAGGCTTAATGAGACCATTTATCTCCAGTGCCCTGCAGCCTGCTGTGAGGTGGATGGGTGTGGAGTCCTCTTCTCCCACACCCTGCATCCCCCAGGACGCCTCTGTGCCTCATTCATGCACTGCCCAGCTGAAAGCACCCACCCCACCTGCCCATAGTCCACTCGGTACAGCAGCCCGATCACTGAGCAGGCCCATTTTACTTTTCCCTAAAATTCCTGTTTTTAAACTCTCCCTGGTTAAACCTCTTCTCCAGCCCTCGTGACCTCCTAGGCATACCTGTAGATTATTAAATCTTCATGTCCAAGTTTAATCTCTCCACCCCAGTCCAGGGCAGGCCTGGCTTCAAGCTCCGGGGCATGGAGAGCAAGGAGTATCTGGTGCTGTTAGCCGGAGGGGACAGCCCCTGCATCTCTGTGGTAGTTGTCTTGCGGCTCAGCCTGTCCACCTCTGGACAGACTGTGCCCCAGCTTGCCCTGCTGTGTCTCCATGGTGGGCTTCAACTTCACCCTGACCCCTCTGCTGTCTCCCTTCTGTCCAATCCCTTTTCCAGGAGGGCATCCATGTGACTTTGGGCCCCCTTTTCAACCTTTCCTTTCTCGTGAAGCAGCCTCTGTACCACTACTGCAGCCTCTCTACCACTCAGCTGCACAGGTGACGGGTATTCACCAGTGTCTTCTCCTGGGCCCACCACTCTTGCCTCCTCTCCCTGCCTCCTAGGAACCCTCCTACCTGCTGAAATCCCAGGTGGAAGCAGGCACCACCAGATCCTGGTGCCCACAGACCTGTGGGGCCCAGGCTCTGCCAGGCCTCCCTCTCCCACCCCTTTGCTCTGATGCCTACCCTGCTAGGCCTGCAGGTTCCAGCTTGGCAGGTGCTTGTCCAGGCTTCCTCGGTGACCTGGGATGAGGTGCTCTCTGCCAACAGGCTGCTGAGCACCCCTTCCTGTCTCTGCTCCACCTCCTAATAAGCCTGGGCAGTGTGGAGACAGCTAGGGGCAGGACTGGTCTGTGGACTCTCTGCAGGCCCTCAGTGTGCAGCAGGGCTCAAAGATTCTGAGCTCTTTTCGGACATGGAGCATTAAGGACCTATTGTATCCAGCCTCAGGCCCTGGTGCCAACTCTGGGCTCAGCTGAGCCTGACACAGCCCCCCCTGGGGAGGTTGCAGGACCAGGTGTGCCTGAGGCCTCTTGCTGTGCTGCCCTGTGCTGTGCCAGGACTCGGATCCCCTTTTCCACAGGGGCATCAGAGTGGGACAGGACTCTCAAAACTAAGGTGTGTGGGGTCTCTGCTCATGAGGCTTCATGGCCTCTCCCACCAGATCTTAGGGAGATGCTTGGAAGCAAAGGCGGCAGCTGCTGGGCAGGGCAGGTCTGCCTGCGGAGTGGGTGTGGAGGGTGGCGGAGCGGCAGCAAGCTTTGCAACACCTCTGCTGCCCTGCGTTTGGTCAGAGGAACCGGCCCAGCCTCCCTCAGTCCTGCCCTAGGACAAATTTCTGCCATTTGTTGTGCAGTGGTTGGAGGCAGGAAATGGAGAGGTGACCTTCTCAGTGGCAGAGAGGTGCTGTGATAAGGGACATGCTCCTCGTGCCTCAGGGCTAATCTGTTGGGGTCTGGGTGTCCTGGTCTCTGCTGGGACTTTCACAGGATTCCATTTGGCTGGAGCAGGGACGCTTTGTTAATCGGGTGCTCCTTTAGGCTGGTACTGGGGACCCCTGGAGCACCAAGCTCATAGGGAACTGGAGGCTCATGGTGGGATTCTGAGGTTTGTGGGGGCTGCTGGGAGCTCAGCATGGGCATGGGGCCAGCAAGGGCTTGTGAATCAAGAGGTCGCTCTGTAACTGGAGAGGCAGGGACCCTGTGCTGGGTTAGATCTGTACGGACTTCCATGGCTACTGCTGTAACAGGGCAGCGGGAACCACAGTGTTTGTCCCGCGAGTTGGAGAGGCTCAAGGAGACACTGTGTGGACTGGAGCTCTTTGCTTCCTTCTCCTGCAGTACAGAACTCAGCTGACCATGTCCCAACACTCCTGAGCCAGGCTCTCGCTTGGACGCCCTGGTCTGCACCAGCCCACCACACTGGCAGAATGACTTTCACCTCCAAGTTGCTGCTGTCCTGTTTGCTGAGTGGCTGTAGCTCTTGGCACACCCTTGGGGAGGGTATGGTGAGCTGGCAATCCCGGCTGCCTCTCCTGCAGC